CTGTAATTGCAGTCGTTATACCAACCGAAGCAAAGGGACAGTTTGCATTATTGCTAAGCTCTCTAACGTAAATAATTTAAAAATATATCTCCATTTCGTCTAGCCATTAGAATCAATACTCAGCTACTGCCGAGTGCCATATCTGGTTATCCTTTTGCTGCAAATCCCTCATTATACGTCTGATCCAGTGGATATGTATTCGGCAGGCAGTTCGGCTGTATTCGGCTGTACTCCTCTTACATTTTTTAGCTCTGTTTCGAGGTCGTCCTCTCTCCCTTTCTGGCCTCTACTTAGTGTATGAGGGTTATTTGGTTGGAGTTTCTCTTCTGCCGACTGTGGGAAGGGGAGTACAGCGAGTATTATTGTTGCATGCGAGGCTCGTCGGCCCTTATTTCGTGCCTTTACGAGCTCGTATAAACAGTGCAAAGACGTGTAATCCTCGCGAGGAGCGAGAGAATCCATATCGGTTTTGCGCGCGGGTGAGCTTTATTTATTCATCGTCGCCCCCCTCCCCCCTCTAGACACACGCCTATCACTTCTTTTACAACGCTTTAATAATACGGCCTCTCGATCCGCGACTTTAGTGCCTCGTGAGAGTCTTAGTCGTCTGTTATATTGCGCGTGTTGCGTGTCTTTGGGTGGAACACCCTCTCTGCTCATTGTAATGCGATGATTACATGCGTCAGTTATTAAGCGCTCGGATTGAAGGCACCTCGCATAATCGTCCTTTCGACCAAGTGAAACAAACGTTGCTCTAGCGATCGCTATTTCAAACTTGCTTCCGTTTTGTGTTTTTTCATTCCATTTTTAATGAAAACAGTTTAATATTTTTAGCAGAGATTACTGGATGAAAACTGCTGTTTATCAAATATTTTAATTTTTAGTTCTTTTTTGCAATGAAGTAATGAAAAATAATAAAAATCCGATTCTCTTGGAGAAATAACGTGTATGCACTAGTTCCGTACGAAAAATACCTCGATTTGACTCATTTATGGTCAATGCATTCACGATGCAAAGGAATTATTTCGTTACCAATGACAGGTGGTTTTCTTTTCCTCGCGCTATCTCTATCTTCTTATATTCTATCCACGCATCGCAATCAGGCAAACGTTGCGAAATAAAACAATCAAACGTGCATGCGCAGTGCCGCTCTTGAGTGCGAGACGAGCGAGAAAAGTTGTGCCGAGGGAAAGTTGCTGGCGGGATCGAATTCACGCGAATCAGAAGTGAATTTGCAGCCCGAACGCTGGAGGATATAAGCCAGCTCCGGGAGAAAAAAGTCTAGTGAATTTACGAGTGCAGAAGTAAGTCGGCGGGAAGAAGAGTCGTGTCGGTGAGGAGGTTTGAGCTCTCAATCAATGGTTTGATCAGGCGCGGGCGCGCGCTGCTTCGGTTGCTGCCGGGTCATTTACCCGCTGACGGCACCCGCGGGAAATCACGTGATGCGATTGCGATCGATTCGCTCTTACTCACTCGCTCACACTCGCTGAATGTCGCCTAACGACGCTAATCGATCCGTCAAATGGCCACTCGGACGGAGAAAGCTTTTCTGCAATTCTCCTTCCTTTTTTCAACGACGTGGACGGCGATGACGCCGACGACGACGGCGGCAGCAATGAATAGAAGATGCGCTCATAGGTTAATGCCACTGCGTTAAGGGCCGGAGGTGATGAGCACCTTTTCTGATGCACGCTGCGTGGAGAGAGAGTCAGAAAGTAAATGGACGATGATGACACTTAGCTTCGTAGCTGCCATTGTTGGATTCGGAGGAAACATAATCGACGCGACGCGACGTTGATGGAGCATTTTATTGGACCCTCATATTTTCTTAGTTGTCTAAAATATAGAAAATGTATACAGGAGTCCAATTGATAATTTTTCAATAAACAATTTTGAGTAATTTTTTAAATATGCAAGATCTTACGCAAAAAGTTGAATACTTAGCTAACAGTTTTCATTGTAAATGCCGTGAACCAATATTTTCTAGAGAATTTGATTTCAATTGTGACTCAATAGTATAAAATATATTAGTGAAATTATCGAAATAAAAATATGCATTTATACGTTATAACTGTACGAATAAGTTGCCAAAAGAAAGACAAATGAGTCGTTTAAAAGTGTTGCCTGGATGAATAATATAACAATGAAAATGATAATAGAACGATCTAGAAATAGGGTCCAATGCTCTTTATCCCAACCCAATACGTAACGCTAAAGTACTCAAAACAAGCAGTATCTTCGGGACTTACACTGTCGTCGGAAAAGATTTAAAAAGGCGCACCTTAAGCGCGCAGCAGAGTTGATGGCTCACGATTAAAATTGAAAATGAACGTCGCGCGTATTTTACTTAATGCTCGCGATCTCAATCCGATCTAGGTCGGTCAGTTCCAGCCTCTTACCAAATATCTCTTTGCGACTCAGGGACCCGTTCCAACTACGTTCCAGGAATATAATGCGATTTGTCTAGAACAAAGGAAGAACAGATTAGATCGATTGAAAGCTTAATTATTATGAACGGCTACCTCGAACTTGAATGTTACTTGAATATGCACAAACCCAGAGGTCGAATTATCGTTTACTCGTTGATGACGAATTTGCCCGTATTGATTTGACGTATGTACCACTTGATGTTTACCGACGTCGTAGTGTTACGTGCACTCTATCAAAATCAAGCGAATGTTTTTCTGCTATCGAATTATTTATATGACCTGTTCATTGGTTTGTTATGTGTTCGCGCATTTTACGCTCCCTAAGTTTTATTGTTCACACGCTTACTCTTTCTTAAGACAATAGTTTTCGGACGGACGAACGATCCTAGATTAGGCAATAAACATGCGAACTCTCGTGTTCCAACAGTAGCCGTATCTGGTCCACATGTTGGAAATATGGCCCCTTATCCCCTCGTTGAGCACATCCGTACGAACGAGGAAATCCCAGCCTATCGACATGTGCATCGGAATTACCCTGCAATGAGCGATCACCCTAGCGCGCTGCGCTCAGGTGGCGAACGGTAGACACGCGCGTGTGTCATTTCCCCCTCGCCCCGATCGACTGGACCCTTTGAGGACCCAAAGAACAGGAGGAAGGAAAACTATCCGCTCACTAATCGCCGCTTTCCACGAGGTGTTTTGCGAGCAAACGCGCTCTCTTTAGTTCAGTTTTTGTTTGAACTGTTAGCCGGTCGCACTCTCACCAAAGCAGATTTCCACGTCTTAGCCGTGTCTCGCGCGCGCGGTCGTTTTGTGGCAACCACGAGCGGACTGATGTTCTCTGCAATATCCGTTGTGCGTACATACGTGTATGTTTCCATAAAACTACGCAGTGTGTGCATCACCTGGACATCTGACGCTCCTCGGCGAGGCTAGCGACGGATCTTCCGCTACGCTAGCTGAGGACCCTTCGCTCCTTTGAGGTGTGGCCAAACCCCGTTGCCTCCAAATTGGGAGCACCGTAGTGTGGACTATCCCTGTCCTCGAGACGTGGGTACTACGTGCTCCTCTATTCTTCATGGCACTACTTTCCTATCCAAAATAACTCACCTGCCCGAGCGTCGAGAGATAAGAGAGCTCTTGAATCGAGCGCGTCGAACTGGCCATTCGATTTTTTTGTATAGGTTACGCGAGCCTCGCCATTAGATCAATTATACTCGTTAGTCAGTGTTATTGTAAATTTGATTACCATAAAACTTGAATCGATTTTTATCCATCTCAAGGCTTTTTCCCCTCCCTATAATTTTCATTATTTATGTACCTACACACCCTTCCACCTAGCGGTAACTCCCTTTATTTAGTAATACATACAACAAATCAGTCACGGTAAAATTCGATCCATTAACTCTATTCCTTTTTCTCCTTTTCTTTTATGTTAAACGCTATGTATAAGTAATTTTTTTTGTTGAATATCTGACTTATAACGTGGAATACGATATCTAGTCATTTAGTTCGATGAACTTCAACTTTCGTAAATAATTCTTCAGTTGGTGAGATCCAAATACTTTAAATAAATGTATGGTCATCGCAAAAAAAGAATAACGTTAAAAGGTAGATTTCTGCACTACCTAACAACCTAAAATACAGAAAGAAAAACAAAGAAAAAAGTATGTTAGATTACATCTTATACGACAACATAAAGTTGAGCGACAATAGAAGAAAATTTAATCAGGCCTGCTGCTTCAGCTTCAATATTCTTTAATGCCTCCTCTCTCTCTTCTCATTCTTTCTCTCTCTCTCTCTCTCTCTCTCTCTCTCTCTCTCTCTCTCTCGGTGTGGCTGAAAGTGCCACATCAAAGTCATTCAATTTGTTCTGAAGATGAGTATTACAACCCCTTTTCGTGGGCGCGCGTGGGAGCCATTAAAGATGCGGCTTAAAGGCGAACAAAGTTGCGCTCCTCGTCTTACAGAAATCGCACTCGTAAAATCGGTGGGTACAAGATTTTCGACCGCTCGACAAGCTACGCGGTCGAAAACCCCTTTTCGTATAGAGGCAATAACGCCGCGCGCGTACCATAGCAATTTGGAACTACTTAGACCGAGTGGGTATAGTCGTATAACGCGCCCGAAAACGTTGGGCAAATTTATCACTTCCAGCCGTATGTGTACGTACGTATGTAAGCGGAAAGAGAGGAGGAAAACACGAGTTTAATAATTCATCTGCGCCCGCGCTCGCACACACGAACGTTTCGTCTGCGCGCGAGAACCGAATTGAAACTTTATCGACTTTGCCTCCTTTTTCTCTCCTTTACGCGAATATGGTGTACTCCCGACTTCCCAACCGATAAATTATTACCTATACCTCTTTCTTTTTCTTGATTTGCTTTAATTTAGCGACTTGACTTTTTCAAAAACTCTAGATTACGTTATGCTACCTACCAATCAAATTATGACGTTTGATGGAAATAAATAACTAAGCTTGCAATTTTGCTGTTCTATTTTGATCAAGGCTCGAATCGTTTTCACATCTTTATTACAAAATGTTTATTAAATGTTTATTATATTTTCTTCTTTACGTTGTGAAAATTCGCGTATAAAATGCTTTTTACATTAAAAAACATTTAGCCAGCAAATTATTGTAATTTTGTAAATTTCAAATAAATGCCGTCGGCAGGTCCAAGTAAAAATCTTCTTCTGTGCGTTATGTAAGGAATCTCAGTTTTAGCAGAGGCTTCAATCTTATAACTCCTCAAAATAGTGATAAGTCCAGTTTTCGTTTGCATGCTGCCAAAGCGAGCTCCTGAAGATATTAGAAGATGAAGACGTACATTTTATAATATAGAAGAAACAACTCACCTATACAATTACGAGGACCAGCTCCAAAAGGTAAATAATAGAATGGGTTTCTTGCTTTTGTATTATTTTCGTTGAATCTTTCTGGATCAAATAAATCTGGATTAGAATAAATCTTCGGGTTTCGATGGATTCCATACACTGGAATCCATACTCTAGTATCTTTTGGAATTGACAATTTGTGAAAGGTGAAGGTATAATTTTCCATAGCTTGTCGGACTAATACAGATACTATTGGATATTTCCTTAACGTTTCTAAAAAATTGAATGACTTGTTCATCAAGATTCATTTTGATAAGTATCTACTAAATTATTTAAATATATAATTACCACTGACAACTTGTTGCAAGTACTTCATATTCTCAATTATTGAGTACTCTAATACCCCATTATTTTTTGTAATCTCGTAATTAATTTCTTCTCTAAGTTTATTCTGAATTTCCGGATTGAGAGCCAATTCATAAAGAGCATTACTCATGGTTGTCGATGAAGTTTCAAATCCAGCAAAGAAAAAGGCAAATGCTTGTGCAGTTAACAACGAATCTGTCAATTCTATGATAATAAATATATCAATTATTAAAAATATATTTAGTTAACAATTTTTCAAGACTATTAACTGTGGAAATCTTACCAAAATTAAATTTATCTCGGTGATTTTTCAAATCAATCAATAGATCTACAAAGTCACCTCTTTTCATATTATTCTTTTCTCTATATTCCATTGTTTCCATCATAGATTTTATGAAAAAGTCATTGATTTCATGATCATACATAAAATATCCTAAAAGAGTAAACAGCGATGGGCATATAGTCTTAAGTCTTATTTTAAAAGTTCTCCACTTATCGGCATAAATAAATTTCCTTCCGACCTTTCGAAAATCGCTATTTTCATTAGCCAAAGCTTTCATATCAATTCCAAAGACACATGCACCGATAACATCAGTGCTAAATCTCGAAGTAAGTTCGCAGCATTCAACGATGTCGTCGTTTTTTACCATCACATCCAAAGTATTTTCAAGATGCTCAGCACACAGTCTCATCAAATAAAACATCTCCCTAAGTTTGACTGTCGTAAACATGGTTGTTTGCTTGGCTCTCAAAGGGCGCCATCTTGCAGCTTCAAGGTTGACAAGATTGGCCGATAATGGTTCGATATTCTCAAAGATACGAATGCCACGATTGGCAAATGAAGAAAAGTGTTTTATCAAAACTTCTTCAATAAGCCGGGCGTTATTGACGATTAAAATTGGCACGCGATTTGCAAATACACCAAACATTGGCTCGTCGCTGTACTTTTCGTATTCGCGTTTGACAAAGTCAGGAATTGACGTTTTGCCAAACATTATATCCTTAAAGTTACCATAAAGAGGAATGGGTTTTGGACCGATGACGCCGCGAATTTGCCAAAAATTAAAAGTTGAAGTGAAGTAGTAGTAGCCGGTGAAGAGTAACACGGTTAAGCCACCAAGAATCTCCAATATCCCGATTTCCATCTTAATAATTTATACCTTGAATTATTTATCCTATAAGAAAGAAATGGTATTAAAAATTAAAGAATTTACAATAATGTCATATTTTGTAGTTGAAAAGTCAAATATTACTTAGATGCTTTTTTAAATAAGAAAAGTATAATGCATTATATTTGCTGTATACTTTGGAATGCAATTTATGATTTTGACGTAATTGTAATATATTTTAGGATATTACTTTTTTATTTAATTCATTAAAATAAAACTTGATTGTGTGTATCAATTTTCCCTAGTTTAAAATATTGTTACTGTAAACGATCCTTGTAAAACTTTAAAAAATAATAAAAAACTAATTTGTGAAAGGTGTTGTTTAAAAAACTATAGAAGTTTTTATTTATAATTTTGTCAAAGTTCTTTTTGAATAAGAGCAACACAAAAAAAAAACAGAAATCAAACCCGGAGAAGTGCAGATTGAAACAGATGTGTCTATTTTTAGGCCGATTCCAGCTTAAAGGATCAATGATCGTAGATTGAATTTTATGTGACCCTTGAAGGAAGGTATCCAAAATCCTCAAAACAGATGGCATAGTCTCATTCTTGCAAGCGATGACAAAATATAAATCCGCAATTTATCAGCATAAAAAAAAAGTAAAATAAAAACAGAGATCCAATTCCTGACAAAAATAATCTCTTGCGCACAAACTTGTACAACGAATAAATAATAATTGGCAATACTGTGCGCGACAGCCGGTTTTCCACAGCGAATAAATTTTACTTTAGTCGTCAGGCTATACACAGAAAAAAACACAGCTAATCCATCCCTCTCTGCGAATATGTGTGTACATCGATTGCGAAAGGTGCTATTCATAACTGTCGACGCTCGGTCGCGTACACATAATACACGCAATCGAAAACAAAACTCGACCGATCGTGATCCCGGCATTAAGGACTTATCCTTTCTTTCTCTCTTTCTCTGATACACGTCACTCGCTCACGCGGTAATATAATGGGTTCTGTGAGCGCGTTGCGTATTATGCGAGAGTCGGCGCAATATGACGGCAGGCAGCACGAGCGCTTGGCGAGGATAAGCCGACGCGCGCGCGGCGAACGAGACTTTATGATTGGAGAAAGCCACAAAGACGAGGATGTATGTGCGTTTGCAAGTGTAAGTGTGTATATGCGTCGTCTCCAGGCGTGTGGTCCAGCTAGCGGGGGTGCCCCAAGGAGTTATTGTTGGGTCGCGATATTGGCCCACTGCGATATATGAGTCAGCCCTCCGCTTTATTTCATATCTGTGCTGTATATATAGTATATTTTGCGATAGATAAATTGATTTGTACAAGCAGTACTAAGTTTACAATAACTGTCCGTTTTTTGGCTGTTACTTAGAAAATTTGACTGAAATGTCACAGTTCATAAAAGATACGTAATGATATTCCACTGATAAGCTTCAATATATAAATCATTTATAATTATAAATTGATTCCAGATATAAAGTCCATCTATTGCTGTAAAAATATATCGTGAAAAACAAAACAGTGAATGAATTAAAACAGCTGCATGGAAGTATTGATTAATTTATTTATTTTATTTATCAGCTTAACCTTGGATGAATAAAGATGCATGCATACAATAAACTAGCTAAATAACTAACCCAAACAAGTTTCCCAAAAAGGTAATGACACTCGTAAATTCCTGAATGACGTCTACATTGGCCAGCTACGTCCAAAAATTGCACGACAAAATAAATTTAGGCGAACAATAACGCGTGAAGCCAAATCCCAGGCACTAAAACGATCCCGCAAGCTCTGCGACCAATTACAAAGTAACAACCCCTCCCGAAAAAATCTCTGGAAAAATACAGACGACAATATAGCTTTGCGCAAACGACATCAAAAATTGTGCCGGATCATTTCCCCGAAATTTCATCTCAAACAAAAGCGTCGCGCGCCTGATCGATGATGACTTTTCTTTCCGCCCAGCAATTGGCGCATGCCGTCGCACCTGTGGTACGCCTTTTTTCTCGATCCCCTGGATTTGTGCCGCGCCCTTCTCTCCGTTTTCTAACGACTGTCCAGATGTTACTTTCTCTCACTGCTCTCTCGACCATCGGTGATTTCGATGCGTATGGCCACTTGTGCGCGCACGAGAGATCGAGAAAAGCCGTTGGGGTGGGCTACGTGTCTTTTTATGCGTGAAAAGCAATTTTTTAGATGAATTTTTTATGCATCCATGCGTGAAGGAGTACTGGGGCTGTAGCTACTGGACAGGGTGAATAATTGATTTTTTTTTTCACTTTTTGGCAAATTAATGCTTGATTTTGTATCGCGTCGATAAGAGTTGTTTGCCTACATTGGCAATGATTTAAGTATGAGTAGATGAGCTGAAGTTAATCTATAACTGAATAATATTCGCTATAAGAGTTGTTCCTTGGTCAATGTCAAGTGTATAAAATTGAAAAATATTTAATTAATGAACGTTACCACATCGTTCCACAACATAAATAAACATGTATAAAGAATCTTGCATCGGCCTTTCCTCTAGCTTTGTAAAAAAATTCCTGGACAGTTTGACCGTGCTACAGGTCAGCGGCTATTGAAAGCAGGAATTGAATTTCTCGGGCGGCTCATCATGAAATTCAAGTCTATACGTTGGCTGCGTTCCTCTTCTTGACGTTGACGGCGCAAGGCCAAAGTGAAAGCTGCAAGAGCTGTATATTGGAAATGGCTACTGGACCAAACGCCGAAAGGGAGGCCTCTTTGCAATTTTTCCACTCTCTCTTTCTCTCTCTCTCTCTCTCTCTCTCTCTCCTCACATGAGTTCACCTTTTAAGGAACGTTCTCACGCCTCGATGAACCACGTGTCATGTCTGCGGGGAAGGAGGCTTAAAGGACGCGCATTTCTCGCCAAGTCAAACGGAAACAAACGCTCAAGGTGGTACATAAATCGACCGAGAATTCTAGGCCAAAAGCTCTATCTTGTGCTCTAAATCGAAAAAATGAAGCTCCAGATGATTTACCTGGTAATGGACAGCCAAATTATTTTCTTTCTTCTTTTCTTTTTCAATTGCGGGGAAGAGAAAAATGATCAATACCAGACATTCCACTGAGAATTTTTTCATTCTTAAAACTTTTTTTATTTCGTGACGATATGTAACTTGTTATTTTGGTATTAATGAAAATTTACCATTTCACGAAGGGAATCAAATTCAATTCTTTTGCACAAATTATTCGTTCGGTGGAGATTATTTTAGTGGACGAATAATTTGTGCAAAATAATTAACGAAAAAAAAAATTTACAAATAAATTTATTAATTAACGCAAGCCACATGTTCTATATAAATGAATAGTCATCATTATGTTTCATACATGTGAAAATCCTATCATTAGCAAAATCAGATGACATGATTTTTGCGAAACTACTATTTCGTTAACATCAGTATATACTAGATATTATAATCACTTACAAATTGATATCTTGCTTGTTATTGTGCAATACTCATTCAGATAGATATTGTAATGATTTTGGACTACTTTCTTCCCACTTAATAAAAACAAAACACAAGTCGATTACTGTACCAGCCATTACCTCGACGCACTGTGAGTGATCAGCTGTTGCTTGATCATGCACACGTTATTCAGAAAAAGATAGCATGAACAAAGTACACTCAATGCAGCTAGTGACTATTAGATCGAGGAGGTTGTCAGTACTGATACTCTCTGATTTCAAACTTTACTTTACGAGAACAAGCAACATAACGCCAATTGAAATTTGATAGAAATGATTTATAACGTAAATTTTCACGGAATCAAAAAATGTAAGTTTTTATGCAAATAAATGAGCCTGCAATTAATTTAAATTTTACATTAGAAAATGCTTAAACAGTTTTTATACTAAATATCAGCTAAAACTTTTTCTTTAAATTGAGTAACAGGCAGTGACTAAATTTAATTGCATGCAGAGAGTGTAACGAGTTAAATGCTTTGAAACTATTCTAACGACACTTGATAGCGTCAAAGCACGCTTGCAAAGAGAACATTTTCAAATAAATTCACCTCCGTGCTCCAATTATTTATTGTAACTAAAAATTCCACCTCATGCGTGCATAAGCAATCGGAATAAATATTTTTCAATCTTATTTTATATCAAGTCTAATGTATTTGTCAGATATATAAAATCAATATTTCTAAAATAAAACTTGTTATCTTTGAAGATTTCAATTCGAGCAAAAATATTACGAATATATATCAATTTGGATAGCAATAAAACGACATACACATAAAAATAAAAAGTAAGTAAAATGCGGAAGATAAATGAGTCGGCATAAACAAGCATGATGATCGTTTGATATTTCGAAATGAGATCTCCAATTATCATAGTGAATCGAGTGATTGAACATAAGACATATTCTAGCGAGAAAAAGGAGCAAGTCAAGTAATCCAAGTGACCGTCCCTAAATCGCTATTTGCGGCCCACTGACAGAGAGATTAAAGGCACGACGCGCATACAGTTCCAAAACGAGATTCATTTCCCACGACATAAAGCTTGCCATTTGTGCGTGCGCGTGCCGAGAGGGATGGGCCGATTGCGCTCACGCTCGCGCAAGAGGTATATATCGTCTGCGATGTTGATGGATCGGCTGTGGCATTATAGTCCCCGAACGAAGCGCACGTGTCTTTTCTCTTTCTTCGTTGCATATACATGAATCCAACACGCTTCGCGTTACTTTTCGGTTGGCGCTTTTTCACTCATGGAGCTCCTCGTTTTCCTTTCCAGCAGCGAAGCTGTCAAGAATTCCATGACGAGTCGTTATTTATCAAGATTATTGTTGCATAAGCAGACTATTCTAAATGCACTTTACGCAGATGGAGATCAATGTTAACTTACGTTTTATTAGTATTTTTCACATTTACTTGTGAGAAATATTCCGTCAAGATCGTCTTGCGTTCATGTGATTATTTTACTATGTATCGCAGATGGCTCTTAATTTATTCATTCAATTAGTTATATACTTGAGCTTATTTCATCATTTTACGTCATTAGTAAACTGCACCTTTATGAAAACATTCATATAACTGGATTCGTAGGTTGAATATGGAACAGCAATTTCGTAGCGTTGGTTTGAAATCGCGTTTATTTATTTCCACTCAATAGAACAAAATAGATAAAAGATAAAGTACTATTAAAAATGTAATAAATTATTTCAATAGAAGTGCAAGAGGGTTTGAAAGTAATCTACTCGCATTCAACGTTCTAATCTTCGTTCTAAAGCATCTAAAAAAGATTAAACTCTTACTTACCAGAGAGAATACCCGGATCGACAGTTGCGCGCGTGTGCACGCGTGCGAAATGGCTAATTGCCTTTCGCGTCGCGGTCATGCGTGAGAGATTTACTGGGTCCGATTATTATGTTATACATAGAAGATGCCACGTGCGTGCGCACTCTAACAATGTTACATGCAACGCTTGCGCGCGCGCATTAACTATCGGACCCTTTCCTTTTTTTTCCGCGTGACTTTCGAGCTTGCAGACTCTAAAACGCCCATTGAAAGATTATTATAGCGTTGCAAGAAGATTTATCGCGCGACGTCACATTCGCTGACCGCAATTGACATTTCTGTGCTAATTCGATTGTGACGCTACGGTTAACATTGACACGTTTCTATGTACGGTCATTATTATTAATGGATTTTCGCTGTTTTATAGATTTTGGGGAGAGGGGTGATGAATATTGCCGCACTGCCATGCCATCAATGCGCACTGTGTTGACCGTCAATAATTATTATTATTTGATGGTTTTGCCAGCTCTGTAGGTTTCTTGCGCTTCTCCTAATGGTCGCGTTAAACTTTTAATGCAAGAGATGCTGCTGCTCTGCAGCGTGTTGTTTGTTTTAACTTTATCTACGTGGACCGCTATAGTAAACGGAATTGCTCATGAAAAATTGTTATTCGGCATAAACATTGCGAAATGGTTCATTAATGTTTGTATTACGTAACGGACGTAAAGCTTCAATGCTCATTATCGTGAAAAATGCTAATAAGCGTGAATAATTAAGTACTGTATAAACTTTGCTGCGTATGACGTGCAATTAATGCTATATGAAAAGTTTAATAGTTACAGAAAGTACGCACGTCACTACGAAAGTATAACATTCAAATATGTTCATTGTAATGGATATGTTTAGATTTGTTTGCAGATACTTGGAAATTGATTATTTTCACGAACTATTTTTCAAATAAAAGTCACTATACACAATTATTTTAATAAGCTTCAAAAGAAAAGAAAAGTTTAACTTGCCGGCAAATTTCATCAGGAAGCATCGAAAATTAACAAGGAAAAGCCATATTAGATAAAGTTTTACCGCGGGGGAGAGCTGAAAAGTGAGGAGAAGAAGAACACGAGCAAAAGATAGAAGCGTATCAAAAGAAGAAGCGGTGCAATATAAAGCGTACCGGAAGAAAGGAAGCAACTCCGCGGGAAAACTTCCGGGACAGCAGAGCAAAATCGTGCGCCTCTCTCTCTCTCTCTCTCTCTCTCTCTCTCTTTCCCTCTCTATATACACGAAACGTGCAAGTTGCGAGTCGCGCGTTAGATCCCCAAGAGAGGAGGCAAAAGGAAATGATGGTGCTCGCAAGCGGAAGCCACCGATTAAAATTCAGTCCAGCGACACGACGACAAGAGAGAGTCTGCAGACCACCACCTTATTTCGGGCATTATGCCGGTCGCCGACGCTGACGTCGACGAACACACAGTACCGCGGGATCTTAATTTCCGCGGCTTTTAATCGAATTATTCAATTTGCGCCCTTGTACTTGCTCGCTCTGCATCGTTGCCGAAAGTTAACTGACAGCCAGCAAACTCTATCGAATTATTATATTTCGCGTATACTCGATTAGTGTCGCGCGCCAGCCAGCCAGCGAAAAGTTTTGGATTTTCAGCTTAATATGCACGTGCATGTTGGGCGCATTTACGTGCGATGGACAGCTAAGTGAACAGTCGATGAATTTTCTTGTTTGCTCGCCGGGACAAAGTTTTATACTCAGGCGTATCCAACGGCTGTACGTTACATTTCCAAATGCAATTATTCTTGGCAAATAATGTTACACGCAATTGGAAGTGTAGATCGATATAGAGCTGAAAACCTTAATAATAACATATCTCTGTACCTTTATAAAAATATATATTGTTATTCGTTTGAAAAATCTGAGCAAATAATTATAATAAATTTACCATTTCTGACTGTTGAATAATGAATTTTTTAATATTCGTATTTTTAAATATTCAAATTAGCAATTACCGAGGCAGACATACTAATTTGATTCTATACTTTTAGACTCCGTTATTGTGACTCATTTGGACATTTGAATAAATAAATAACTGAATCTCCTTCGATATCGATTAATGATTAGCTAATCAGCTACTCGATTATTCATCTATGAAATTGTATATTAAATTTCAACGTATTCAAAAGCTTATAAAGGTATATATTTATATTTTAGGGTCACGGTGGCTTAGTAAGTATGAGCCCATGCTTCTGTGCAAGAGGTCATGGGTTTGAGCCCCGGGCATGTGAAGATTTTCAGAAATGAAATTTTCATATGTTTGTTACCGTGACTCCACCTTAAACTGTAGGTCCAGTCAAAGGGTATGTAAAACTTTCTCCTACACCATTTTCAAAAATTCACATAATAATGCGTACAAGTACTTCTGCAGCGGTCCACGTGAATTTAGTTCTTAGAGTCACAATAGCAAAAGCAATATTTGTTTCAGTGGACGGCTATTTTTACTGGATAGAAACGGAATCGATATTGTTTGAAAATTACCGTAATCAAACTGAAAAGTAAATTATACGAAATGATCATATCGTATAAACCAGCAAAGCTTGGAAAATCGAATCACACTCGTGTAGTTATTCGAAGGCGTAAGAAAGTTCCCAACGGTAAAACCATATGTCAACAAAATCGCGACAATCAAGAAGTGAGATCCTTATAGTAATGTGTACGTGACTCTGTGAAGTCGTCGAATCTCTCTCTCCCTTCTTGGAGTCTCTCGATAAGTCCAAAAGCGCGCGCCTCGCACGGATCGTTAACCATTCCGCTCGGATAATCGCGAGTGGAGGCAGCAAGCAGCCCCGGGACACAGATTCTCTCTCTCTCCCATAGAGAAACCGGTAATAGCGTCGATAACTTTCTTCTCCGCGGCTTGACACTTTTCCTTTGATTCCCACTACAATCTAAACCCCTCCCCCTCCACACCCTTCCTTGCCCACCTTCATTTTCTTTCGCCGCGTATGTCTTTTTGTCTGTGTGTGGTGGTTAGCGGAGAGATTTTTTTGTTATATACGACGAAAGGCCTGCCTCGATTATTTTTTCGCTTCGGCTGTGCTGAAACTTGTGGGCTCGTTTGTCTTTGCTTCTTGCGGTGACGGCTCTGCCAAAGGAAAAAATGACAAAGTGACTTACGCAGTCGTATGAAACGTCAGGCTAAAAGAATTATTATGGACAATGTAACATTCATTTTTTTCCTCGTCGCCTGAGAGTAATAAGAAAAACAACTTACTTGGTGTTATGAATTACATTGT